CTGGTGAGGGATGTATTAGCGTATCCAATTTGTAACGAGAAGGGAAATTATTTTAACGACGAGAGTCAGGATAATTGGTCGAGGGTTTCGCGATTTCCTTCGACCTTTCGCCCCTCGAGCGTCGTTTATTACGTTCTCCACCCGTCACAGGCTTTTTCTCTTTTTTAACCGAGGAAAAATTGAAATTTTATTTAAAAAAATGAAACTCACCACGCATTGTAGCGACTAGTTAATTGAGTCGGGTGAAATGGTGTCTCGATACGAGACCGTTTCACGATTACCCTCCCACGCAACCACCCTAGAGTATTACGCGATTCTACGACCCGTAAACTGTGCTCCACCTGTACATACATTGCCAGCCAAAAATATGGGACCATTTTATTCGGAATTACATTCTCATAATTCTTAGCCGACGGAGGCCTATGCTGCACTCGAGCAAACTTTATTTTATTGGGCACGGAATATCATTTCACATTTTTATCGTCAAGCGAAGGTACATTTCTGATCAGTTTCGCATAGGTGTACGTTGTGTTTGTCAGGACTGTAGCAAGGCAATAGAGGGTCGCGTTTATCGGTTCGCGTAGCGTTCCTTCGGTAAATTACGGGAGACCGTTCCATTGTAAATAGGGGTTGAAAGGGCTGCCGCGGAGCTATGATGACGGCGGTGGGGGATGATGGTGGTGGTTGCCTCTCGAAGCTGGCTGGCATTTCGAGGTGTTCTTGCGAGCACTCGATTACCAACGCGAAGGACCAGCTTCGAATGGGCGGTGTTCTCAGCGTTTAAACCGTTTTCTCTTGGCCAAAGCGACGCGTTCCGCGGTTCTACGGTGGTGCACCCCTTCGTCAAGCTGGTATACGGGGCTTTTCGCGGCGGAATGCCGAGTCTGATCGCGGACCAACGGTAAACCGTCTGCGGGCGACACGTTGAATTTAGTCGGCACTCGGTACAACCGAATAGAGGTTAGCTCTGGAAAATTGGTAGCTCGTATTTTCGTTGCTATAGCTGATCGCGGTCGACCAAGTTATTTCCTGCTTAAATGCTAGGCGAGAAAGTATACGACGCGGTTACGTAGCTTGTCCTTTCTTAAGAATCCTATTAGTAAATTTAACTCGCAGTATATAGATTTTTTTCTATTTTTATACTATCGTCTGTCCAAAGCCACGAGCAGGCAATATGCGGGACCCAGGAACGAATGGCGAATTCCGGAAGTCGAAACTATGCAAAACTAATTGCTGATCGGCTTCAAACGTTTCCCAACGCGGTACGAATGTTAAATGTCTCTGAACCGCACATTATCTCTTGCGGTTTGTAACTCTGAAACGTTAGCTCGTTCACTTCCACTTTCTTCCCGAATAGTTTCCTTATTTTCAAGGAAAAATCTTCTAAACAATGTTCATTCGTTCAATTTTATATTATTTTATTAGATTTCTTGTTTACGAAATCTATGAACTGTTTTCAGAATGATCAATCTAACAGGTTATACTCTTCGCGGGATATCTAGTTTCTGCTCGCGTGTACGAATCGTGCCGGGCATAGATCGAAGCGTTCGAGACAAAAGCTTGCGAGCCGAGATTACGGCTCGATTAATTCAATTCCATCCGGTAAATGGATTCGCGCGAACCAATTAATTTTTCGTCGATGCTGATACACAGTGTTCCGGGCGAAGCGTCCTCGATGTTTCGTATGCGAACACAGCGATTCCTCTCTAATTACGCTTCGAAAATTAAAGAGGAATCGCTGGAGGAATTTTGATAACGAACGTATATCCTTGCTACCTCGTCAACCCAATTTTCCTCGAGATTTATGCACCTTTCACTACTAAGCTTGGTTAATTTTCATCGTCCTTATTAACGGACGAACCTTTTCAACGAGGTAAAGGTAGCTAAGAGCATAAAAGCCGCAGACTTCCATCGGTTCTAATTTAAAGTATACAGAAAGTTCAAACGAAAATCTTCAGTTTAAATGTATAGACGCGCTATTTTTCTGAACGTGTAGGTACTGTTTTTCAAAACGTTAAAGCGTTCAAATTTCCTTGGTACAATCTCGACCTCGTTACTTTACCCACTTCGAATGAATCATTTCACGAGTGTTCCTTACGAGAAAACGTATCGAACGCTCGCGAGGATAGGTGTCAGCCGACACTTTCGTAATAAAAGCTTTTGCGTTTCTCCGGCTAAAATAATGAGCGTCTGAAAAGGGGGAAGAGAATTCTCATCCGGAGATCGTCGCCGCGTACTTCTCGTTCTCTCGTTGGCGATGATTGCACACACGACTACGACGACGACGAGGGGGAGGATGGTACACTTTGTACGACGGCAGCAGCTTTTGTGCGTACGCGACGAGTTTCGAGCGAGTACGCGAGCTTTCTCGCGTATATGGGCCAGGGTTAGGACGGAAACGGCTCGACGAAGAGAAAAAACGGCTCGAGAGGTCGACGGTGTGAAGCACTGGATATTAGAGGGTGCTTTCATTCTTTTTTCCTCCTCTTTTTCCATCCTTCCTTCCTTCCTTCCTTCCTTCCTTCCTTCCGGTTCAGGGAACTTTCCTGCCAGAAGGGATGGAACACTGGTCGTTCGTTCAGCTTTAATATTCAGCTTTTTGTTCACCTTATCTGCCACGAATGGCGTTATCATAGCGCGTCAGCTTTTCACCTATGTCGAATTACCTCCAGGTCGAATCTGGCTTGGACAAGCATCCCGTCATTCTCCACGCCGCGTTATCCGATATTTCCGAAGCAGAAAGCCGCGTTTCGAATATTTTATCAATGTATTCGCGGCCTGGCACGCGTCAATCCTCGTGTTTCACCCGTCACGAAGCACGTCTGCCCGCGTTTGTCTATCGATTTAACGCGATCAGAGGATTGAAAGGGGATTTCAAGAAAATTTCTCGTCTATATTCATCACCGATATTAACGCAAGATGAACCTTCTTGAAACTCGTGCTTTTTTCCTCAGCGACTGCATTGGAATATCACAGGTGTTGCACAGGTGTGGAGACTGGAATGGAATGGATACGACGAAGAGTCTCGAGCGGGGTAGATTTACGAGCTTCTCTCGGCAGCAGACTGATCGCGAAAGCTTTGCATCGTCCCCGTCGCGCCGTGTATTTTGGCCAAGTACCGCGAGGCTTGCAAGAGGGTATCGGCAGTGATTGCAGAGGGTGGAAACTGAAGCGATGGGACCCAGCTGCGATAAACTGGATACTCGATTCACGACAACGTTTCGCGTGTTCAATTTATAAACAGGAATTCGGTGCCGCGATCTTTCAAACTGGGCCATTCGACTTCGTCATTTTTCTGCTCGATCTTCATCGATTTTTTCGGATACTTCGCCCGGTTGCCGTCGTTCTTTTTCTACCTACGATTCCGAGCGGGTTTATAGCGAGTTTATCGGGATCACGGGGAGGAAATTTATTCCGCGAGAAGACGAGTCACTGGGAATCCATAAATCGAGTACTCTCGAGATACGAGCCATGATTTATTATGAACAACGAGAAGAAATAGTTGCAAACCCGGGGAAAGGAGGATCCGGTTTCGCTCCGGTCTGTCGATTTATTAGCGAATTTGAACCATCCTTATCGTATTCGTTAGAGTTATTTATAAAGACTCGTTTTTAGTCCGTTTCAGGATGTAATCTATTGTCGAAAAAATTTTTTTCCACCGTTACGGTATGCACGTCACGTGTGAGCGGATTTCCAGGAGGTCGCAGAGTGCACTTGGAGAAGTTCCGAGTGCACTGTGCTCGCTCTATACTGCACTGCCTTGCCTAGGGTCACGGTATATACTTTTTCAGAGGTCAAGGGTTAAAGGGAACGTGGTTTTCCAAGAAATAGCTTCTGGCTGTACCAAGTACCAGGGCAGGCTAACTAAACAATTAATAAACCCTGTATAAATTTTCATAATCGACCTTTCTGCGACACGCAAATGCCTTAATAAATTTCAACTTTCACTAACTTTTCTTTCTTTATTTTTTCCCGTTTGAGAACAGGGCAGCAAAGTAACAAACGATCAATCTGAAGGCGTATATATGCCTAAAAGAGAGAGCTTTATGACCCCATATACTCGCGGTCGTATGTTTGCTGTTTTCGAGAAAAATCATGCTCCGCAAGTTACATTTTTCTTCTTTTTTTTTTTTCACGAGTTTCACGTCTGTTTCAGTTTCCACGATGCGTTCAAGGAAAGTGGATGAAACGAGCTAGGGACGAGGAGAGGAATAAAGGAAAGTTCCCACGTCATTGAAATAATAGCAGCGTGTACAGGTAGGTAAAAGCGACGAGTTCCGTCGTGGTTTCTCCTCGTTTCGTTGAAATTAAAATGAGTCGAGTGTTTGCGAAGATCGAGGGAAAATGTTGGCCGACCGAATGTGTTTGCTTTGATATCGGCCAACTTTTTCCACTCTTATAGTATACCCGTGATTCTTCTAACAAGAGTAAATCGAACGTAGAACAGAGCGGAGAAAGAAGTAACGCGTTCGTTGCCGGTTGATCGAGCTGCTAATTTCGTGGAACGATCGCTGATCATCGCCAGCTTCAAAGTTTTTTCATTAAACCTGTACTAGATCGATTTTATCCGACACGCTGCTGGGAGAGACCAGTGCCGACGGAGAAATTTAATTTTCGAAAGAACCGATAAAAAGCAAGAACCGAGCAACGAAGGCCGAAAAATTTCGAACGTACGAATTTCCACCGGAAGGGATGTAAAAACGAGGCGAGTAGAACGTAAAAATTCTGGTACCCGGAGTGAATGGAATTTTTTATGAGACTCAACAGGAACGAAGCGATTCCATCCCGTTGCCCTCTCGCCTTTATTCTTTCACGCCGAGAACAAACTTCACGATGTTGTTCACCTTTGATCGACGATCGAAATTATCCGGTTACCTTCGACTCGCTCCCAAGAATTTTATCAACAATTTTTCGTTAACAAAATTATCGATAACGAATGAATACGTATAGTTGACGAAGCGAATAATTAAATCGATCGACAGTGAAAAAAAATCGCTCACCTGCATGCTGGTTCACCGACGGTCTCGAAAAACAGGCAGGTACCCCCGTTCATGCAAAAGTCACCAGTCATCGGGCACGGTTGTTCCTGCCTCACCCACGGTGGGGTCGCTGTAACAAAAGTAGAAAGAAAAACATTAGTGTTTAGAAAGGATTATGCGCATCATTCCTTTATGGGGGTAGAAAAATTGTACGTTCCAGTAGGTAACTTTTATTTTTCCTTCCAACGCGATTTCTCAACTTCTGGTCTACTTTTACATTCTCACTTTTTTTTCTGACGCGAATAAATCGTACGGCGTTAAAGCTTTGTTCGTCTTGGAAGGAAATGATATTCGCGTTGGCAGCGGATTCAAGACAGGACCGTGAATTTTCATTTCAATCGGCCCGCTCGCGGATTAGTCTTTGGTATGCAAATGGAACGGCTGCTAAGAAGAAGGAAAACCGTGAACGCGAGAAACGACTGGATTTATGAACAGCTTAAAACATTCCCTTATCCCTCCCCTAAATTTTCCCATACCGTATCTTCTGCCACTTTCTACCTTCCCCTTTTTCTTTTCCTTTTATCGCTTCGACGAAAATGTCGAAAATCAAACAACACCGACGATTCGAAGACACATCTTTCACTGAATTTTCCTTCTGCTTCTTAGCGGTAAATCTATCGTGTATCCCATAAATTTCACCGCGAACGCGTAATACCGTAGCCGACTGTAATTCCTCACTGTCGTTCTCCGTTGTTCAAACTGTAATGCATTATGAACCGAGCTTCTATCTTGCGGCTTGTTTTGAACATCGATTAATCACTTGACAGGGCGCATATATTATGGTAACGTTTTAATAACCTGCTAGAAAAACTCTTTACAAAATGTTTTCCAATATCACAAGCGTCATTTGACGCGCTATTAAACAGTCAGAGATTTACGCAGACAAATTATGATTAAAACGACCAGGAAAAGATTAGTAGATTCTTGGTTACCAGGATAGGGGGTTGAAGCCAACCCTTCAAGGGTCGGTTGCGTCACCGACCTTTCGGACGGATCTTTGGTATCTATAGGGGAGTAAAATGGAGTCTAGGTTCCAAGATCATTGAAGTTGTTCGTGCCTATAGACTATAGAGTATCTAATGGGGCTAGAATGAGTTGTACAGGCGCGTGTGCGATGTATTAAAAATCGTACAATGAGTTTGAAAGGAGGTGGATGAGCCAGCTGGCCGGGTAATAGTAGTCTGAATAGTAGTGCGTTCACGTACGTTCTCTGCGAGCCCGGACACCATTATTACACTCGGATTAGTACTCGACCATTCGGTCGGAGCGGTATTACCGAGCGTAGTTCCAACTTCGAAAAGCTCTCGAGCAGATTGTACGCTCGGCTTTGCCCTCTCTCGCTTTTTCACTTCTTCACCCTACGCTTTGCACCTGCCCACCGCGTTCCTTCTCGTTAAGTCTCTAACGAGCTGAAGACATTTCGCGGTAAAAGCTTCTCGCGTTTCTTTTCTCTTCATTCTTTATCCCATTCACGCAACGAATAATGGAAAAAAAGCGGGTATAAGATCCTGTTGAAATTTTAGTTCTCATTTTATTTGGAGTATTATGGATTTTTTCTGTGTAACGCTGTTGAAAAGAATATGAGATTGTCACGAAATTTCATCAGCGCCGTTTTTCGATTGCAATATTGGGCGCAACATGGTATCCATTTATCGAGCGTGGATCCTCGAGCACCGACCAGGTGGAAACGCTTCGATCCATGGTTGCTCGAACAAATTTCTCTGGGTTTCTTACTCGGTGAAATAACTCGCCGCTTCTCCTCAAACAATATCGGTATATGTGGCGTGCTTTGGAAGAGAGAAATTGTAGAATTGTTTGCAGATCCTTTCTGCAGGCGTTGAAGAGGAATTCGAGACTCGGAGCTCTATTCTGTTTCTAAGAAATGTTGAAAGTTGATTGAAAACCTGTTTGTTCCTTTTCGTATATTATTATACTTTTACATTTTGATGGGAAAACCTGAAATACTCTGTAAATTTCAACTCTGCCTTTTTTTTTTTTTTTTTTTTTTTTTTTCAACAATCTGTAAAGCAAATAGACTTGGCGAAGCTTTCGTTTGAAAGCGGAATGACACGTTTACCCGTTTAGAGGGAAAATATCTGGGAACACGTTGTTCCATTCGGCTGTGCCACGTTTGCCTCATTGCCGCTCGAATTTTCCGACGAATGAAATTGTCTCATTAGCGACGTGCTATCACCGGCCAAAAGCGTTCGTTCGACAACAAACAACAGTTTTAACGTTCGTTGCTTTTGACGCGTGCAACATTGTTTGGACACCATTATCTCTTGTCGATGTAACATCAATCGGTGTGTTGCTGTGGCTGCATTTAGATATTCCCTTGTGATTCTCTCCAACGCAACGATACGTGTCAGCTCTCGACGTGTTTACGATTTTTCTGCCAGAATATTTTTTTACTACCAACCCGTCTCTTTGATGGGTCTCGCATATTTCACCGGTATTTTTCCGCTTTGCAACGCACAACCTTTTGATCGACCGGATCGAAATTTCAAAAATCTTTTTTCTTCAGGGATTTAACCCTTTCAACCCAGAACGCTTTGGGATGGATATAAAATATTTTTCGTCAAGAATCCACGCGCTAACTTAAACGTGAATATAATTATTTTAATCCCGAGCAACACGATTCGATCCCTGGAAGAAACTTTTTCATCGCACGTCCTAAACTCGTCGTGTTGCCCGGTGATGCGGTACGTGAGTTTCGTCGGCCGTGGAATTAGTTTAAAAATGTATTACACTTGCTCGCGCTAACTGGCTGCACACGCGTGCACTAATTAAGGCTAACGCGATGCTTTCTCTATCCTATCCCCCATCCTTCCTCTATACCCGTGCATATATCAAGTATGAAATACGAGTTGTTCGTTCTTCGAGCATGCACCGAAAATTGCGACGAAAACTCGGCCAGACCGGAGAGGAAGCCTCTGAAATGATGAAACTTTTAATCTCCCCTGCTCGCGGTACCGTCTGAATCGAGGGTGAAAAAAATTTCACCGACCGAATTATGCGACTGCTTCTCCAAATTACGTCATCGTATAAACTTAGATTTACCTCGCTGACACCGTTACTCTCGTACGGCAATCTTTGTATTCCATTGGCTTTCAAACAACGTAGCCACGGGGATCACCTAAATGGATTTAACCTGACGTTTGCGCGTTACACGTGCTTTCGAGCCGAGTAAAATGATTCCGGTTACGTGACTACACACGTGTCCTTTGAACCGGCAAAGAGAAAAAGGCTGGCCAGCCTGGAAAGAGGGCGAGATAAAAATGCGGACGAGAGTCGCGCGGAATCTTCGCGCTCGTCCACGTCTGGAAGAATGAAATTGTAAAGTTTCAAAGGACCCTCGCAGCTTTAAGCACCGTCCATGGCTTCCTCCACGTGTGCTTTTGCCGAGGAAAATTCTCTTCCCTGCACTTCTTTCTACCTCCTGGCTCTCGTACACACCCTCGCCCTTCTGGCTAGCAGCGCAGCACGGTTCTTTTGTTGCAAGCGGATTCCTTGTTGCCGTTGTTGGAGAAAAAGTAAATTGAATAGATCTGGCAAACCGTGCGAAAGGGGAAAAGGAACAAGGATACCTGTGTGTTAGAACGGCGGCAGGTTGTTTCTCCTGTTCCAGTCGCGAAAGAGATGACCTTTATGAAATCTTCTTTCATTTTTCTTCTTTACTTATCCTTTTTTCTTTGGAAACAGAATTAGCTTTCGCGACTCGATGTCCTAAAGTTGGAGAAAAATATCCTATTGTCTATCCCACAATCGACGGTAAACGAGCAGAGTGATTTCAATCCGAAAAAGGGGAGCGTTTAGCTTGAAAGGGTGAGTTGTTTGCGCGAGTTTCGATCTTCCTTGGGCACTAAGGCGGATGGCGAATGCTTTCGTCACCTTCGTTAAAATTTTATAGGAAACGTATCGCAAGCGTTTACGGGACGAACTCGCGGATAAAACCATCGCTCGACTTTGCTAGTCTTTTTAAGGGTGCTTCTTCTTCGCGGAATGGAACGTGTATACTCGTAAAGAGGATTCTCGGTACAAAGAGAAACTGTTAAGAGTTTCCATCAACTGGTACAACCGTTTCAATGGCAGTTTAGTTTTTTCGATTCGACTGGAAGTTTCATCTTTCTACACCGTCTTCTTTTGTTTCTTTCATCTGCCGGCTAAATAAAGTGCTTGGTGTTTGAAGCAATTAACGTTCGGAAAATTGCCTGTCAACCTTTCGTACCTATATACGCGAATAGTAAGAATAGGTTGAAGCTAGGTTAAGAAGGAAACTTTGTCTACGTAAAGTTTGGAAAATAAGAGGAAAAGTTTGTTCGCTTTTCTGTAATTCCTAACATAGTTCGATATTAGTAGAATTTCAACACCAGCGCGATCCCCTGCGAATGTCGTTCGTGAGAAATTTTCAAAGACACTTTCGGTCCATAAGAACGTGACACAGCTCGTAAAATGAACGCGCCTGGCCCGATATGAAATTCGCGAACGACTATCACCAATACCTGGAATTCTCGATCCACTCGTGAGAATCTCTCTCTCGAATCCGCGTTCCAGCGACGAGTCACTTCGGTTTAGATTATTTTTCGCACATCCTCCGGGCTGTATTCAATCGTATCAGAGGTGTACACGATTCAATAAGGCCACGGATATTGCTGACCCTTGCTAGGAATTTCGAATTCACCCTGCGTTCATTTTATCGTTCACCCTTCTCTCTTGTTTCTCCAGTTGCCTGTAGAATTTCAAATTCCCTCGTTTTTGTTTCAAACAATTTACACGTTTCCCCGCGAATGGTACGCAATAGATTAAAAGATATAGGTGTAAGATCGATCCTTCGAAGAGGGTATAAAACAGCTCCAGGTTACGTCCGACCTTTTTCTCTCAAACGAAACCCACTTTTCTCTCTTATATCGTATTTCTTCCCTTCTTTCAACGCGTCGATACCAGCCATGAATTTTTATTTACTTTATACCCTGATGCGTGTACGTGCACCGAGAAGTTTTCAACAATGTTTAACTTCACCCGATCTTCTATTTCACGCGGTTAAGCGTCGTATATCCCAAGCAACTTTTC